CTTAACTTTCGATTTAACTGCCAGATTTTAAGACATTACAGAATATTTTATAATATTCACTAGAATCATTGAAAAAGAAGTTAGATTACACAATATTATATTTTATAAGAATTTTTCATTTTGTGAAATATATGTTTTACTTGGTACTAAATATCTAATTGACGAATAAAGATAAAGAATAGATTAGATTTTTATCTTTTCTCTAAACTTTGTATTATTAAAGTGCCATTGCACACAAATTGAAAACTCTGTGTCTTAAGAATATTGCTTATATAATAAGAGAATAAGAGTAATATTTTTTTAGATTTTAAGCGTACGTATAAAAAAAAGCGAGTGCAAGTCAATAAAGTTATAAAGTACAATTATTATTTACAAAAAATGCATTCTAATGCAGCAAAGTGCAATTATTTGTAGTTCAAAAAATTGTCAACACATAAAATGTGGATTATTTATTATACTGATGAAAAGAATTGTTCTTTTGCTAATTGCAAATGAAAAACCTATTTTCTAAACTTTACACATAAGTTTCATTCCTTCCAAAAAGTTTGAAATAAAATAATTAAATACCTAATTCACACTTAGATAATAAGAGGCTTTTATACTTCAATGTACAAAATATATATTGTTAGATATTTTAATACAATGTATTAAGCAAGTGCTTGTGTGTGTACGAGATAAATTAAAATATATATATTTAATTGTAAGTTTTTAAAATATATTTAAAAGTAATTTAGATTGATATAAATTTGTGTTAATAAATATAACATATTAATTACGAAGTACAAAGTAATATGATTCAATGTATTCTAAATATTCAACGGTATTAATAACATATTGTATCGCGCTAACTAATATTGAGAAATTTTATTTTTTTTTACACATATATATGAAACACATGTTTGTGATTGAAAACATTTTTATTAATAAATAGCTTTGAATTATTTTATTATTAAATTTAAATAATTTGCGGGCACAATATTTGTAAGAAAAGGCAATTCAAAATTAGTTATGTATGTACTTAATAACATTATATACTAATATATACATATATGTAAATAATATATATATGTACACGAGATTATTTAATCTTAATGAAATTATCATATTAATAATGTAAGAACTATAAAATTTATTTTTATCACTTTCCTCTTTCATCTATTTTAAAATTCTCATTATGTTAAAAGTTTTATTTAATTATAGATGTTAAATAATTCCATCAGAAAAGTACGAGAAAACATCTTTCATTTATTGTATTGAAAATTATTTTATTAATGATATTACAAAATAATATTCATTTTATCTTCTTCTTTTTTGAGGCTTTTGATTTTACAGATTTTATTTTTTTAACTTTTTTAGCTACCACAGGCTTCTTTTTTATCTTTTTCACTTTGTTTTTCACAAGCTTTTCTGTATTTTCATTTTTATCCGTCTCAAATTTTTCTTCCATTTCCATTGCTTTTTCCAATAAGTCACCCTTAAATATCTCATCGGTGGGATTAACTGTATAGGACAATTCAGGTTTATTTGCCTGTTGTACCATTTTCTGTTCCACTCTATTTATATACTTATTAGCAGCCTTTTTTGCTAATGATTGACGAAGCTAAAATTTTTATACAAATGCAAAAAACAAATCAATCATAATGCATTTATGAAATATAAAATATGAATGTTCTATTACCTTGGCAGGAGAAATATAATTGGGATTATCCCACAAAGTATCATTGCCAAAACTTCCACTAAATATCTTGACTGGATTCAAAACAAATCTTGGACCAATTTCGGTTAATGCACCATCCTCTGTTAAAATTTGGAAGTTTCGGAACCATATCCTGTTGTCTAGAATAGTGAATGTGTATACATGATCAAAGAACGGTTGACTCTTAGGATGACAATTTGGTACACCGAAAATCTGTGTCAGTAATTCCTTCAACAGACTATAATGCGCATGGGTGGTAAAATTTTCATCAAATGATAATAATGGCCGAGATCCTCTCAAACAATTCCCCGTCATCTTTAACTCTCCCATTGTATAAACTACAAACAAGTCAAATGTGTAATTGTTATACAATTATGTAAATGTATATGTAGACTCCATATATTAAAAATTTATTAGATATAATTACTGTTTTCTATGAGAAATTTTGCACTTGGACCAGTGGGTACATTAGCGAACCACATGTAAAGATCCCGCTTCATTCGACCTTCAAACAGAATAGCCTTGTTGCAATTTTTCATTTCACACATCTCGTTCACTACTTGTAAATTCTTAGTGCGTTCCATCTTGCATTCTGGACGGTGATGCGGCATCAGTTTTTTAAAATCCTCCATGAGATGTCGATGCCTATAATTGATACCTCGAGTAGCAAATACCAATACCCGTTGCCTGTTGATCCATTTCACCTACAAGAAAAAAGATTATTCCAATTTTCCTTTTCATTAAACAAATATATACAGAGAGTAACAAAGGTTAGATTATAAAAAACAGTTACAATAATTATTTTTTTGGAATTACTGACTTAACTGATTTTTGTTAAACATGTTTTCTAAAAAAGAAATTGATATGTTTTATATGTAATTCTTTTCCATTAATTAGTACTTTACAATATTAATTATATTGAATAATTAGTATAGGTTATTTTTTTGCAAACCTTTTTAGCGGCAGGTTCATCTGATATTTTCTTTTTCGGTTCATCTTCTTTCTCCACATCTTCCTTCTGCTTTCTTTTTAAAATTTTCGTCATTATAAGAACAAACGAAATAAATGATAACAAGAAAGATAAATAAAATTCTTGAATTACGCTCGTCAAAACAACTCACGGGACTCACGTGGACTCACTCTTGGATCACTTGGATGCTTGAGACTTTGGAGTAAAAGAAAAAGTCTGTTCTTTATTCCTGCACAACAAACGTATATTTATTTCACTTCAACTTAATGGCTG